ACCAAACTAACTACTAAGCGACTTCGTCCGCGGGAATAACTGCATAGATAAACAATTATTCGAATTGAAGAATGTTTGTGTTTTTCAAGTAAGTCTAACAGAAAATGTTAGTCAATACAAATTGTAGGCTTTTAGGGGATAACTCTTCACTCACATCTACTTTTTGATTTAATCAAAGCATAAATAAAATAAAATTTATATCATAATCCATCCAAATTATGTACTTAAAGACCTCGACTAAAAACTAAAAATAGAATAATATTCAATAAGCCAGACGATGAAATCAAATCTGTCTAGACGGTATCAAGACGGGCGCAACCAACTTAGATCGACTTGAATCTTGACGTATTATTTCATGAATAAATCAAGATAAAGTCGAGTGGAAGACAAACACAGAGTCCGTTCCACATGCAAAGTTATTTTAATTTAATATGTCTAAATCCTATAATAACAATGAGAATTACAATTTACTCACTCGTATTTATTTCATTTAAAGATAATATTATAACGATTTCGATAAGAAATAAATATTAACTGTATTATTGTAATAAACAATCTGTATTATTTTTTGAAATGAAATATAGTTATTCATGCACTCTAGTTTAAATAAATATTTTTGAAAATTGTGATAGATAACCATGTTGTTTACAGTTTTTAAAAAATAGAAAGTAACAACAATAATTTTTGTCTTTGTTGGTCTAAATATTGAATTTATTTTTTATATAACTCGTGTCAAGTTGTTTTGTAGAAGTTTTAAATAAAAAAGATGTTTATAAAAAATAACTGACCTCACAACAAGCCTACGTTTAACTTGAACATTTAAATACCTATTTTTACTGTTTACCTTGAAGGTCGTTGTTTAAATTGCCTGCAATTAAGAGTCGTTCTACTGTGACCATGTAGCAATATAAATTAAAAACAAATAAACAATATTATTATTTTAATTATCGATTATATTTTAATAATAATAACAACACGAAATATTGATTATTTATGAACATCATACACATATGCAGACAAAACACCCCCTAAAAATTTATAATCATAATAATAATAAATAAAAGGACATAATAATCCGGACATAAATAAGAAAATGGAAAAATAACATTTTTTTTGCATAAAATTTGGCTTATGACTCATTTAGATGTACAATACATTTTTGAATATGAACTGAATATTCAAATTAAACTAAAGAGCACCTCCTTAACTTTTTTGCAAGATTCAAACTCTATGTCAGCTCCTCAGGTAAGCTAGTCTGAGCATAAATCAGGTGGGCCCACTGCGGGTCGAAGGCGCGCGCAATACTATACCCCCCTCTCGCTACGTATTGTACACAGAGCAGCTTACTCTCGTGGAAAATTGCGAGCAGGCAAAAAGTTTGGATGGCATTACACCAGCGTCGATTAATAACAGGATGAATCTAGAGAGACACATGCTTGGTCACATGTTTGTAATAATACCAACAACTAGTTTTTTGATTTAATGATTTATGACACCACATTGCAACTGACTGATTCTGCTTTTAGAAAAACCTGTTATAGACTGAACTTCCATTAGGTAAACGAAAAGATTTGCTTAAAACAATAAAAGCCTATACAAGCCCTATAATAGGACTAAACACACTAAGTCATATTGTCCTGATACCATAGAACACCAACAGGGGCCCTAGGTAATTATAAATTAAGTATACCAAATAGACCAGTGAAATTTTAAATTCAGATTGTAAATTCAGATGATTTAATTATTTTTTCTGTCAGAAAAGGAAACCAAATAAAAGTAATTATTCTAGTTGACCTTTTAACCTGAATATACGTGCATCGATCTCAAAACAGCTACCCATATTGGGTCGGTGCCGATGTAAATGTAGGTCAAAATTACGCTAACCTGAGTTTTATAACTTGAACTACATTAGCAAGTAAAATGAAAACGGTCCCACATTATACTCGTATTTCGATTTTTTTATATTCTCAACTTATAAATGGAAAAGACAAAATTATTTTAAATAAATTCCCCGTTAATTTTCTGTTTGAACTGCGATCTAACATAATTTAAACCTTATTCAAATGTACATACTTGTAGAAATGTAATGTTGTATTTACATTATAAATAACGGCCATTAAAACGTCTAGGGCATATTGAAATACAATATAGAAAATGTTTAAGAAGTAAATAATAAGGAAGGGTGAATTGTTTATATAATTCTCCGCAAGCACTGCAATAGGCGGTGGGGGGCACTAGGGGGATACTGGGGGCACGGTGCGCGCGCACTCCGCCGCCGGTCGATACGCGGGACCCAAACAAACCTGGCGCGATGGGCGACTGACCCATTTACACCCAACCGGGACACCGCACCGCCAATACTATTATGTCACATATAGGTACTGTGATTTTATGCAGATTTTAATCACACCATACGTAATAAAAATCTTAATTACTATGTAAAAAAAATTCCAATCATTTTATAACCCCTGCATGAACTTTCTTGATAATGGCCATGCATACTCTCTACTGTCATAATACGTAAATAAAACTATAAGAAAAAAACTGCATGACCCACAAATTTAGGAAATCAGAGTTTTGGTTGATTTAAGTTTATCCGTTATCTGTTAACTGATGGCCTATTTATTTGTATTATCACCAGTGGTTTCCGAGAGCAAAATCCCCGTTTAAAACATATCGTTATCTCTGTTTTGTGAAAGATAATGACAGGGATGACAATATGTTTAATCCAAAAATTTAGGTCTCAGAAACCAGCGGTAAGCATGACACCGATATAAACGTCAATATCCATGCTATGCTTGAACTATTACAGTGTAAATTGGAACGTAAGATAAACATGCAAGATATTTACGCAGGAAAATAACTATATTTAAGCGAGGACATCCTCAATCAACTGATGATTTACAATCATTTCATGGTACGGGGACTTCCCTTTACTCTCTAATTGTTCGGAAAACATTCAGAATAATATGAATACTCAACAACGGTTTGGATTGTTTCATTTTATAGAATACCAAACCGTGCTACAATACTAATATTTCAACGATGATGAAACCATATTTCAACAAAGTCTCTAAATCATAACAATTAAGTACCCTATCTCTCTCCGTATATCTGCCTCTTGATCTATCGTTCTGTAGGCTCATCTATACTAAAGATATTTATCGTCATCTCTGCGAAATTATCCCTAAACATATCAGACCTCTGTCAAAGCTAAAAAGCGAACTAAGACCAATATACAATATAATATTTATTTGCTTCGCCGCAGTCAGTAGACTAGTGAATCCAATAGCTGATTTTGCTGGCTCTACCACAGTTAAATATAAATGTGCCGATGCAGATGTGTCACTTCGAAAAAGATAGTTGTAAGTGTGATGCTAGACTTTGAAATGCGCCGATCGAAATAGAATTGTCGGACGCCGGAGGGTTGGCGGGATGCACCGAGCGAAAGGTTATCTTTATTATTAACACACTAATTCGGGAAGACCCAAACAAAGCATCACGAGCTCGGCCCACATACCGCCGACGTCTGAGGGCCGGGCGAGGCTACAAATACATGATTCATGCAGCCGACACATGTCACCAACTAAGCGATCTGCCATTCAGTCATCGATTACAACTTAAAAAACCGTTGTATAACTAATTTTCAAATATGAAGTAACATAATTTGCTTTAAATTAATTTAAATACGGAAAGCAGCAGCTATAAAATAAACTGTTCATTTCTTACGTCAATGCACAAATGTAAAATTGAAGTTAGAATAGGGCTGTTATGCATTTTTAAAACATTTTATGATATCCACTATATTGCAAATACCAATAATAATAAAGTAATAGAACCATAGAAATATTCAAGTTTATAATTCTCACGTTTGATTGTATTTCTAATTCGAGTTTCACAGAAAAGGTGTTTAATATCAATTATAAATAAATATATCCAGCTATAAATAGATTATTGTTTTTATCACGAAACGATTCAATCACTTGGTTTATACGTTTCATAATTGGGTACACATTTAGTTATTCATTTGAGTGCGTTGAGCATTTATAAACAAAACATCGGGAATTCCCGAGCGCAAAATACAAAGTATGTTTACATTGCACAGCTTACTTGGACTTAACAAAGAGATTTAAGGTTGAGAATTTATCAACATACTCTTTGTTACCAAATTAATATTGTCAATTGTTTCATTCCAACTCTTTTTCGATTCTACTCTTGTTTAAAGTAGAATTACTAGCATGAAAACAAAAGCAGCATACTACGATGACGCCATATTTCACTGAACTCGTTTGCTAATCAACTTGACCAAACAAACCTGAACTGTATTGTAGGCACGGCTTGCGCCATACTTTTCCGTGCAACATGACAAGTAAATACGTTATAAGTATCAGCCACAGTGTGGCTCAACAAGCTTGACCCACATACGGCGCGCACACATCCTATCGAAAGCGCATTCCACTGCCCGTACCCCCCTCGCAGCGCGCCCCTTTCGCTTCGTAGCCTACGCGGATCTCTATTGCTAAACAAACATCAATCTCATATAGAAAAATCATATCAATAAGTCAATGGTTGATTTTAATTGAAGAAGGCTCTCGTAAGTTATAGAGATAACCAGAGGAAATTTTCGTAAAAATGAAGGAATTAACAGGAAACTGTTTGTATTTAATAATGTTATGTATTATGAACTATTGTTTGACCACGAAAACTATAACAGATCAACATATAGTGATATCGTGATCACGGCTACGCTGCGTCGGTGGAAAGTGGTTGTGCAATTGGCGTATGACCTCAGCAGCTCCGTGAGAGCAAACAGTGGCAGTGGGGCTAGAATAAACTGCTGCACGGTTTTGTTACACAGTATACAGGTAAGTAGGCGTGTTGAAAAATGCACGGCCGCGACCTTAGCCCAGTTGCGCGCAACACCGCCGCCGCGCCGCCTAGGCGCCCGCGGGGAGCGGGCTGTGCGCGGAGGCTGAGGGGGCTCGGTCGGTACCCCGCGCCAATTGCTGCTGGTCTTGTGACTTGTGACACCGTTTAGAAAGGCTCGTGTCGATTGATGTGTATATTTGGTTGCCCGTATGTTTGTTTCCATTTTATTTATGTCGCTGAGATTATTTTTAGCCACCTAATTGCATTGACGGTTCATAAATCAGACGTTGCCTTAATTTATGTTTTTGATGATGATAATTTATTAAGAGACCATGCACAATATGCTCAACGAATGAGTTTAAAGCTTAAACGTGTAGCAAATTATAGGTGAAAAGAATCAATATACAACTCTAACTGTAAAGAAGAAAATGCTGAACATAATGCAATTTGAATTCATCGGATGTAGAGAAAACATCGGTGAATGGTTATTTTCATTTAATTTTTTATTTAAGAGGATTACGTTGTTTTACGTGAAAATTCGTCAAAACAACAACCTCAATTGTCTCATGCACATTTTGACGGCGATTCGCCAAACTATCTCCACTGAGATCTCTATAAACACACAGAGAATGCTTTAGTATGTTTGTCCTTATTGTTAGGCCTTAGGGAAAAACCTGACCTTTGCAGAAAGGTTAATAATAATTAACCGGATATTAAATGAGAAATCTTTTTATATTTTTCTATGTTGCAAAAAGTAAAATCGGCCTTGTTTTTTAAATAATATAATTCTAGAAAAAAAAACTATTTTAATTATTTATTATTTTGCTTCATTACTTACTTTTTTTTTTATTTATTTAAGCTTTGTACACAGTTTAAAGTACATAGTGTAACATTACATAGAAATACAATGATGTACAGGTGAGCTTAACTCTAAAAGAGTTCTCTTACAGCTAACCTTGCGATACAGAGAGGATGTTACTTCTTATGTGTGTCTTTGTATCGTAGTCTAAATAAGCTATTTGCATTTTGCTTTGTTTACTATTATAGTATAAATATAGCGGAGAGCATAAGCAAGCCATATGTAAGAAGATACCTTTCTATTTCAGTGAACGAGCGATACAAAGAGCCGAGCAGAGTACCTTGCATCGGTGCGACGCATTGCTTATTTCACACGAGGGCACAAAATGGGTATGTTCAGTAGGACATTGCAATACTACTATCCTTAGAACCCATACGACGCGCTGCATCGAGTCAGAACGACAGTGGTAATGTTTTATCCTACTGTTGCACCTCGTCGAGCTGCCCTCGTGTGAACAAGCATACGGGCGACGGGCGACCTTGCCGCGGACGTTTGTATCAAAACGACCGCAAGCCGCGACCAGACTAGAGCCGGGCGTGTAAACAAAAACACTAGCAAACGACTACGCACGACCCAAACAACATAAACAGGAAACCCGGCACTGCGGGCCTTTGCTACGTTAAATTAAATCAACACTACGTTAAAAAGTAAACTTAAAACCGCGCACGCGCAGGTATTTGTGCACAGCGTAATAACCATGATACGCAAACTATGACATTGTTCTACATGTTTTTGGGAAAACAATGAATCGACATATATTCAGACTTTTTTTAAGTCTAAACGTGGCATTGTCCTAGCGAAGATAAGGAGACGTAACACGTAACATGTTTTAATATGAATGATTCGACAATGCGAAGTAGCGATATGAGGTAATACTAGGGAGGTGAGAACATTATATACAAGCTGACAAGAACTTAGAATATGCAAGAGCCTCAATACCTAACAGAAAGCCATTATAAAATGAATAAAATTAAAAATTTTAGTCACAGTATCAGTTACTTTGCTTTAACAAGGGCCTCGCATAATCTCACGGAAAACGGAAACAAAAAGGTTTAAAGAACTTTATATGACTTCGCGGCAAAATTTAAGGCTTTTCGTAAACAAGGCTACGAAAATCTTTGATCACGCGTATCGGTGTAAAGCGCTATGCGTACTGTTTAGGTTTGCTCAGCCATCTTAAAAATCGCTGCAACTGTTCTGACGACGACCTTGAGAAATAGGTTGCGAGGGATAGTTTTGGCAACTAAACAACAAAATGTTCTTTACGCGTGCCTTTGTACGAAACACTATGATATTGTATTGTGCAAGTGGCTAAGCGAATAAAATCGCCGGGTTTTGAAAATTTATGTAGCGTTGTGTACAAAGGTACTGACAATGGTTAAGGAAAACGACTGATTGTGTTACATGTTTATGCAAATATTTAAGCAATGCTAATAACATGCGCAGAAATATTCTGGTTACATCCGGTTAATGCAGTCCAAACCGATAGACGGCGCATCCTCGTCAAATAATCACGTAATCACATATTAAAGTCTGGACTTCAATAGAAACAACACCAGCTTGATTAATTTTTAGTATTTAGCAATCTCTAAGAATATTAAATATTGTGGAGTTGAAATCTGGTAGCAAATTACAAAATATCAAAAACTTAAAACACCTATTCGTATAAGAGATTTATTTTGATGTTATTGTTCGGGGACTTTTATTTTAACGGCTACTTGAATTATGTGCCATTCGTGTTTTACGAATTCACATTCAATAAACAGATTGATGTACTTAAAAGTAATAAACGTAAAGTATGTCAAGAGTAAACAGCACATTTATAATAAATCTATTATACAGGGGTCTTATTTTAAGTGCCAGAAAAAAGGAACAGGTAATGTACAATACTTATGCGATCTTAAATATTTAGTAATCATTTTTTTTTACTCAACTATTATAAAGTTATTAACAAATTAAAATTTTATAAAATCATGTATAAAATATAGACCCAATACTTTTCACAAAATGCTACAAATCACTTTATTGATGAAAAATGGCTTGGCAGTAGGGGGGGGGGGTTGGCAGTGAGTGCGCGGTGAGCAGGGAAATATTTTTTACTATTAATTATTAATGTGCAGTGTCGTGTCTGTTCACAGAACCCAGTACACACCGCAATACGCCGAGAGACAGTCAAAGCCGGGCCGACAGTCGCTCAGCCATGGAGGCACCATCGTTTTGGTATTTTACGAAATGTCCTCCTTTAAAAACTATTAAAGTGATTCTAAATTTTAATCTCAATATAATTGTAGATATGCATCGATGATAATAAATTACATATTTTTTTTTGTTATTTGTATTTAATTACATTTGCTATATCCATGTTAATAATATGATATTAAATGTGCGTAACATAAAATATGCTATGCTATATACTTCTTAAATTGCTTTATCCGTGTGTATCATATAACTACCCATATTCAATAAAACATCATTACCGTGATTATAGTTAATAGCAATTTGTCCTGCATTTCACTTCCAAGCTTATGGTGTTTGTACAAACATGTCGTAAGTGCAGCAAGATTGCCCGCGGCAAGGCTGAGGCGGTGTATTACGCCGAGATCCTGTTCAACAGCTGGTTACGTTACCACAGTTCTAACAAGACATTACTACGTATACTATATCTGAATAGAAATATGGACATAACAATAGTCACGGTTACATGATTCTAAGTAAGAACCCGCTTTTGTACATTTCGTGACGCAAACGCATGTAGTTCTAGTAAACTGGTAAACAATAGAAGTATTTTTAAAGTTAATTATATACAATGCTAAAGTCTTGTCTTAAGTCTAACCTTGGGTTTTAACTGGTTACAAACATTTAATCAACCGTCATCCCTTTTATTTAAGAAAAGAAAATTGAAAACAGTGTGTTTTCGTACTGGTGATTGGGCAGAGAAACAATAACTAAACGAACTAACTAAAGAGTTTATAAGTACATATTATGTATTGTTACTTATATAAAATTGTTTTACATTATTATTGCAGACATTTCGCAGACAAAACAATAATAGTTGCCTTGAGATAATGCTATTTCACAGAAACACGTCAATTTCTGCCATCAAATATTTGCTGAAATATTTCTCAGAAATTCATTTCTATTAAGCCAGCAGCAACTGATAGTGACTTTCACTTCTCCACTTATTTGCGTATCCTTCGTTTAATTGAAAGCGTGAATTAATTAAACAGACGCATCAAATATTCATTTACATGGCATGGCAGCTATTATATGTATTTTTTTTTAATTCTGCGGCAAAGGTAACATGTAATACACAAGTTTTTGCGTAAATTGTTAATTTACTTATTTTTTTTGTTTAGGTTAGAGATAGTAAAGATAATAGATTGATAAACAGTGTTACTTCTTTCAGAATTAACATTTGCATACCTTGTTTGCATCTGATTATTTAGTCATAGACAACATAATAAAACAGTCAAAAGAATTATCCGATCTCAATGTGAGATTCCTCCTGTCGAAACATTCATTTTCCCAAGACAATTAGAGGAGATAAATAGAAACAAGCCGTCGCCAGTGACTCCGTCTAGCTATATGTTCTTCCAGACTACACATATGCCAAATTTCATCGAGATTTATGCATCCGTTCTGGAGATACGTTCTAACAAACATCCAAACTATAGCATTTATAACATTAGTAAGAAGTAATATTTCAATATGTGAAAGGATTTATAAAATACATATGTATCGTAGCGTTATTTGTTGTGTTAACAATTTAGAACGTAAATCATTAAATAGAATACGTCAATGCTACACACGTCTGCATTCTTTTATAATGACGTATTAATTTAAATTGGATTGGTACTACATACCTATACCTATGATAGTTAAAGACTTAATTCGGATTAAATTAAATTAAATTACAATTAATTAAAAAAAGAATGTTATAAAATTACAAAACAGATTTATTGGCAATGAAAGGATTAAAAGTATAATAATATAAATTATTTAATAACTAGATGTCGACCGCGACTCCGTCCGCGCGGAATTAAAAAAAAACTAATTAGTAGAATATCTGTTCTTCCAGATTATGCTCTACATCAATGCCAAATTTCAGCGATTCACAAGCAGCTGTATCGGTGATACCCTCAAACAGACATCCATCCATCCAAACATACGCATTTATAATATACTAGTAAGATAAGTAATTGGTAATTAACTAAAAAATAACTAAAATATAATAATTTACAAAATTAAAAGTAAGAAAATGTCATAACAATATACTTCATTTAAAACTTTTACACGAAAGAAATACGTTGATGTATATTCCATTAATATTCCAATCTTTACGATTAGCAATGGCAATGAAAAAATTGTCAACAATGATGAGACCATTACATTAGCAGTAAGGCAAAACAAGTATAACATTAACTCTTTGAATCAGATGTAATTGAATCTCAATAGAGAAGAGCGCCGTCTCATTATAATCAATTGTAATTAAGATCGGCCAAAGGACGGTGAAAGCTATACGTAACGTAGCCTAGTCACGTAAGGACACCGACAAATCACCGTATAAACAGAATCGTTTTCCTTATGCCCTTACCTTTCTAAATAATATATAACCAACCAACGAAAAGAAACACATTCTAGATGAACTATACTGTGCGCTTTGCTCAAACTCGCGATAAATGAACGTACAAATGTTTGACAAAGAAGGTTAGAAGTATTAGTAAGTTTATTTTAAGATTTAAGATATAGAGATTAGGTAGAATTATTGGAATATTATGTCATTCCTGTACGAATTCCTAAAATGTTACAATTAAACCAAAAAAGGTGTCCATTACAATCTAAGTAAATGCTAACCAGGTCTTGGTCACCAATCAACGTCACACCTCACCTTCAACCCATTCCAAAGCTGCTAGTTGACATTTGATAGTTTACAAATATGGAAACGGGCATAAGAATTCCACACAATCTTATATTCGAGAAATTTCTTTTATAGTACTTCCTTAATATGCTTTAATTTATATTTTTATTAATTGCAAAATAAGAGGTAAATGTCGACTTTGACGCATTCTTCAAAAAAAAAACTGTTCTATTAAATGTCATGTTTTTTGTCTTTTTTGATAGTTGTTTTGGAGATACGTTATAACAAACATCAATCCATTCAAACTTTCTCGTTTATAAAAAATATGATTATTTTTATTTGCTAATATTTTTCCAGCGCTTGCAGCCTTAGCTTGTACAAAAACCTTTGCTTTAGACCCAGTTTATTTAACAGGTAAATATAATATTCTTTACGTGTCCTACGCTAGAGAAATTTCTACACGAAATAGAACACGATATCAACAAAACAATCGTGCTTTCCCCATTTTAATGACAATGTGACAAATTAAAGCGATTAACACCGCCATGACGTCCATAAATTAAAATACCTTGCAACACATTGAACAACATTTACTAGAAATGAAAGCAGAAATGGAAAATCTTCTACCAAAAACATTTTAATTTACCAAAAATATTTTATTTTGTGTCCGATGTTGAACACAAGACATACACAACAATAACACATTATTGCATACAAATACTGCCTAAGTAACGATAAACATATGCCAATAGTAAACGAAAAATATAACCTTATATCTGTCCAATTAAAAGCATAAACATTAATTAATCATGTCATATTATAGATAAAGAACAATGTAATTTTAGTTGTTAGATTTTTATGTTTGATTGAAATAGATCAGAGGGTTAAGCTACGGAGGATGGCTAAATTTACAATTGCATATCACATCTAGTTTATCTACTGCAAGGTTCCGTTGAAACCGTGCAACGTAGCGGGAAAACACCGGCGCTATGAAGCAACGGACGCTCCTCCGCCGTCAAAACATGTTGTGCAACGCATACCGAGCGCCGACATCGCATTCTACTCCATTTAGCTTTCCGTTCTAATAAATTACTACCAGCTATTTATGGGCCCCCGGCGGGGAAATGACACCGATGTATTTGTTTACACTTTTACAGCGTAAATTGAAACCGAACGATAAGTTCCTTTTTAAAGTATACAACATACATTTCAAGAACTTTTTCTTGGTTATATTTATATTGATTAAGTAAAATATTAATGTTTTGTTCCACGATTATTTACATAGACTACTCCAGCAAAAGATTCTGAAACTGCCAGTAGAACAGTAGCTGGCCTGGCATGGAATGGCGATAGTTACTTTTCATTATTTTTCCAGCCAGCGCTGATTTTGAGCGCTACTGGCCTATATGACAATGTAAACCAGGCATTATGGTATAAAGAAATACATTTCTTAGTTAGATAGAATTTATCATAACATATTTAAAGTAGAGCACAGTAAACCATTTACTTGGTTACAGAAATAGGCGCCACAGCGTTACACTTACACGGCTTCTAACAAAAAGGAAGACCTATTAAAGTTTATTGACGTATAAAATTTTACAAATCAGTCCTTTTTATATTTTTATTTTTTTTAATTAACTTGACAGTATGTTTTTTAACTCTTTTGATAGTGTTAGATTTTTATAACATCTTTAATCCTAAAGACCCATATTCCGTGACAGCCGATACCCGGTTATTAACAAAATTCTGACCGTATTTGATATATTAAATTAATTTTAAATCCGTCCTAATATTCATTATTACAAAATCCAGAGATTTCAGATTCAAATATGTGAAGCTTGTTTTTATGTTATTGTAGTTTGTTTTTAATATCACGTGCTAATTAATACATCCTCTGGAAATTACCAAACACGTACTTCTCTATCAGCTCTGACCAAAACCAATGGAAATACCAAGCTTTGAAAAAAATATAACTAAGGATATCATAAACCACATAATTTTATTGTTATTTAGGTAATACAATTCTGTCTGAAAACAGTGTTGAGTTGGGAATAATGATGCCTAAAAAATTTAGAATAATAATTTTAAAAAGTTTGGTGCATTTAACCCGAATAAAAGAATTAAATTATATATTCAATCTTATGGATGGATGGATGTTTGTTAGAAGGTATCTCCAGAACGGCTGAATGGATCTTTATGAAATTTGTCAAAGATGTTGAACATAGCGTGGAAGAACACATCTAAGTTTTTTTTTAATTCCGCGCGTATAAAGTCGCGGACTACAGTTAATGGAATAATAAAGTTAAAATATGAACTAGCTATATTATGTATGATATGGAATATATTTGTGAAAGTAAACAATTAATAAAGCTCAACATATGTGAACCTTTGGACATGGTGACACGAATACGATATCAGTTTGGCGCCAGCACC